TTGTTTATTTTAATTTTAGGACCATAACCGTGAATAACATTTTTAAGACCATAATCAAAAACAGTAACACAATTTCCCCAAGTTTTCAAGAATTAAGACTTTTGGTTGAACTATGAATATAAAATTCTTAAGATCGCCTTCTAATAATACTAAAAATTAGTATAAATAAATCAAAAACAATATTATATTGTTAATATATATTGCTTTTGGTTTGTTTATATCTAATCAAGATCTTATTTCTTGACAGATGTCCTGAAGATAGAACATACTTAGTTTCGGAACGTCGATAATAAATAAAATATTTTTAAAAAACTGTTTGGTTTTTATTATCATTGGATTATCTGTTGAAGTTCTACACAAATATATATATATATATATATATATATATATATATCACATGCTCGAATGAAATTATAAATACATTAAGAAATGTACAAATTATTAATTTAAGACTACTTATCATTAGCACAGAGAACCAGTTTTTAGCCACATAATTGTTAAATCTCGATAATGTATTTTTTGTATATATTATATATTTTACGAGTATTATTATTTTTACAATGTGTCTGTTATGCACGTCAGAGCAAATTAAATGACCCATAAAATACGCCGTAATAATAATCATTTTCTATTTATTGTGCTAAAATTGTTTGTTATTCGAAATATGAGTCAATGTTTTCGGAAAGGGGATTTTTAATAATTAATGAGCTATTTGTAAGTTGTTTTTGTGTAATAAAAGTAGCAAATTAGATTTACATCAAGCTGACTGAAATATTAAGAGAAAACAAAATGTTAAAGACTATTTGTTTCTTTTCTTAGGATTTTTTCGCTAATGAACTTAGTAATAATAATAATTTAAAAACGTTTGTTCTTTATGTTACGTAGTTATAAAATTTTTTAAAACTCTCCTAAGATAATACAGGTTGTTGGGTTATAATATAACCCTTGTATCTGTGGACTGTATTAAACACTGATTTGTTTGTATATTATGTATTTGTTTCAGTTCTAATTACAATCACTGATTTGTTACTGAGTTATAATAAAAGAAGATATATTTATTTTTATTGGTTATTTACATGTTGTTAAGCAGACTTTACTTTTAGAAGTGACCAATTAGTTCAATTAACACACTCCGCTACCCCCTCTACCAGGGGTAGCAACCATTCCGTGTAAAGCTTAATGCCCTGAAGTTTGTCGCCTTCATGGCCAATATAATAAAACGAAAAGATGTCGATGTATTTCAGGGTGTTAAAAGCAAAATAAAGCTTTATTTAAATATAGAAGATGTCGTAAAAATATTGTATAACACTTAAAATTGAGTTATTAGACTTGTTCCTGGGTAAGTAGCTAGAACGACTGGACCTGAATTAGTGGTCCCGGGTTCTATCCCGCTTCGAGCATCTTGCTGTCAAACAGTAATGACTAGGGTTTTCACTTGGAAATTTAGACAGCAAAATGATTCCAAGTGAAAATACTCCTGATCAGGCATTGCTGCATCAATAAATATTTACCCTTTTGCAGAAATTGTAATAATAATTTGTCACACAGGGATGAGACAACTGTTCGGGTTGCCATCTGTAGAACCAAGTTTGGTAATAAGTCAAATTAGCTCAACACTTTATAGAACTTGTAAGTTCTTTATTGAGAACTTGTGTTGATTTAATTATTTAGGAGGAAATTTGGTTGTACCCCTGAAAATACATCTTTTGCCAAATATTCCAAGTGATTTAGTAAAAATTAAGAGATCAATTAATATACATGTATCAGTTCTACTCAGCAGGTGCGCCGCAGAAACGCAATTTATCGCGTTACTTGCCAGTATATTTCTATCGCCCAAACCCTTACGAAATAACAATTTTCGAAATGAAAGCAATAAGAGTAAAGTATACTAGTATGTAGCTACTGTAGCATATGAAGGATTAAATTATTTTGCAAGTGCAAACTATCTAACTGTCGCAACAAACTCGTCCATTCGGCGTGTGTTAATAACATTGGGCAAATGCACTGCACGCGGCGGTTTCCCGCATTGCGATAATAAATGCCGCGAATATTTAACTACATTTTCTCACTATACGACTAAATATTTATTGACTGGACTGCCCCAAGATCGTCTTCTGCAGAAAACCCGATTTGCTAATTTTACGTTTTCTCGACGTTACAGTCATTCTGGATCGAATGAGATCGAATGAGCAGAGGAAATGCCTTTACTTATGCCAGACTAAGTCTTTTATCTGGGTATGTTAAGCTCATTCTTAATAATACCATGATTCTGAATATTTCAACACTAAAATTCGAAATAGTATGTGTGTATTTGAGCCAAAATTGACTATATTTTTATTATAATTTTTGTGCACAATTGTGAAACCTTATCGTGCAACCCATATAGTTGATTATGAATAGATTCTTGCGCATCCATCTTCTCGAGCGTAAATGTAAGTCCAGTTCATCATCATGCAATATTTTTTTTTGTATTTTCTTAATTTACTTTTTGTTACAATAATTACCTACAGAAATTGCGCAACAAATGACATGAAATCACGATCAAGTTTCGCCTCGACGTCAGAAACGCTTTCTATATTTTTGCACTGATGTTCCGTTGGTGGACCGTTTTGGTTTCAATTTCAAATTTCTTGCACAAATGTAATTAATTCAATCATGAATTGTTGTTAAGCAAATTGATAGAATTTCTCTCATTATAAACAAAAGTAATTAATTAACAAATTAAATTCATTATTTAACATATTAAATTCATGTTCAGTTGCTTTGCTGCAACAAGTAATAGGTTTATCTAAATTTCAAAGTTCTACGTTCTTTTGTGGTAAGAATAAAAACGTAACTAGAAATTTTTTGAAGAGAGCAAATCAATCATTTTCCTATTCATATTTGATATACATATGTATTTTTTCATTACACTGTACAATATTTTTAATGGTTATATTTAATACTAGTGATGTTCTAATACATTTTTTTAGAATGACGATGACAAAATTTAACGTAATGCTGCAATATTCAATCTAAAAGAAAATTTTCAGCATAATTCTCAAATGGTATCTTTTAAATTTTCAAAATTCATTTAGAGTTTTAGACGTAAAAGTTTATAAAAAAATTTCTAGAAAACTAAAAAAATAAACATACGTTGTTCTCTAATTTTGATGTCTACCTATTTAGAATGACATGAAATGTCGAGTAAACACAAAATTAGCAAATCGATTTTTTTGGCGTAAACAAACTTTTCTTGCGGGAATTAAAAAAGTATTAAAATGAGATTTTTGTATGAACAAAATATTAAATACAAAATATATTTTTACGATTAAATGACATTGAATTTGTATTAACCATGGGCTGAGAGAAGAAAAGTTTCTACGAAAACATTGAACAAAGGTCAAATATTGCCTCACATAAACACACATACCTAAATCCAATTTTGGTGTCAAACAATTCAAAACGACTTAAAACGTCGAAAGTAGATAGAATTAGTAAATCGGATTTTCTGGTATAAACATATACTTGTCAATCGGGCTAAAATCTATATTCATAAGCAAGTCGCGATCAATAATGATAATAAACATTAAGTATATCTTAAAACATATAAACTCTTAAAATAAAATGTTCATAAAAAAGGTAGAAAAATTTTAAACATACATAAATATATTTTAGATATTTATGATATATTTTTAATACTATTAATATTATTGCTATTGTTTCATTATTTGAAAAGTAATCTAAATTTAATGAGTTTTATAACTTATTACACTGACTTTTTTAAAGACTTAATAGATGGCAACCCAAACAGTTGTTCTATCTCTGTGATGAATTTATTACTACAATTTCTGTAATTCTAATAAATTTTGATTGGTGCAGTCATGGTGCAGTATTTCCATAAGGGCTATTTTTATTCGAAAACATATTGCTATGTATATTTTTAAGTGAAAACCGATGTCACGACTGCTTGACTTCAGGCTGTCTAAGACGGGTATCAAACCTGGAATCTCTGATACGAAAACCATAGCTCCAAACCGAGGAGATTAAAATAATTCATTAGTATACTTACTTTATTATTGCTGATGGGTCAAAGAACAATCAAAATTTGGGTCTGGATTAGATATTTAACTGCAGCTGGACATAAGGCTGTCCGAGGCGAGTATAGAACTTCAAAGTACGGTTTCAGATCCCAAAGCAGAAATACTGATAAATTTTGAATTGGTGCAATAATGCTGGGTAAGAGCTATTTTCATTTGAAAACGTATAGCTAGAGGACGTCCATTAATCCCGATAGTAATATATCACGTGTATTTATTTTTTACCTGAATTTAAAAAAACCCAAACATTTCCAAAAAAAAGTAAAAATTTTACAATTTTTTTCGTAACTAAAACTACACGAGACGTTTGACGAGGGAGTGGGGGGTAATTTTGAATATAACCACGTATCACCAAGGGGTAGGGGGGTTAAAATATCCTTAAAAAATCGATCGCGTGATTATCTATCCTATCTATGTTTTAAGTGTCACTACTGCTTGACATAAAGCTGTCCAAAGCGGGTATACAACTTGAAAGTTTGGTTTTAAATCCCAAAACAAACTGTATCTTTCAATGATATATTTTTAATCAATGTCAACAATGAAAATATTAAATTTGTGTTGGTACTTACTTAAATCATCTGAAGGGTCCCAGGTCGGGGTACATTAGATATTTGAGCTTTTGTTTCCGTAAATATTCAAAATTTTTACATAAAAAACGAAGTCCAGGTGCGTAATCGTAATCCGTCGTCATCATAATGATATCCGTTGCCGAATATATCGCTATCAGGCCGCAATCGAGATCGAGGTGTCACTTTTACTCGTCGACGAGGAGCGCTCGACGTTCAGTCAAGCTCAATTTGCGGGACCGACAGGTTGTACCTGAAAAAAATAAACAAGCCAAATATATTTTAACAATAGACAATAATAATTAAATCTTTAAAAACAGACATTTTATCTGTGTGAATATCGTGCATGGATGAATGATAATAGTGCTTATTTTTTATCGGTGTTATTATTTTCGTATAAAGTGACAATTATTGGATAGCTACCAAAATTTTATAGGTAAGAAAAAAATATAATTTACATTATATATATATATATATATATATATATATATATTAGAGATGGTCAATTTTTGGCCACATCGCAAATAGATCATTTCAAGAAACTTTGCTGAAGACTCTACAACCCGGAAGTTAATTTCGAGTCAGCAAAAATTTCCAAAAAGCTCTTTTTCTCCATATACACTTGCAAGGATTTTATGTTTACTGTGAATTTAAAAAATCTTTGCATGATTATATATTACGGTCGGTCAATTTTTTTGGCAAAATCGCAAATAGATTATTTCAAGAAACTTTGCCGAAGAAACTTTAGCCCGGAAGTTGATTTCGAGCCAACGAAAATTTCAAAATTTTTCTCTAAATACACTTCCAAATGTCTCATGTTTATTGGGAATTTTAAAAATCTTTGCATTGTTATATATATTATGGTGGATAAATTTTTTGGAAAATAGATAATTCCAAGAAACTCGACATAGATCATTTTAAGAAGATCATTTTAAAAAATCATAGCCCGAAAGTGACCTTAGAGTCAGCAAAAATGTTAAGAAAAAGCTTTTTTTTGTATACACTTCCTAGGATCTCATGTTTATGAGGAATTTTGAAAATCTTTGCATGGTTGTTATTTATTTTGGTGGATCAATTTTTTGGCGACATTGCGAATAGATCATTTTTAGCAACTTTACTGAAGAAACTATAGTCCGGAAGTGAATTTCAAGTTAGCAAAAACTTCAAAAAAGGTTTTTCTTCATATACATTTCCACAAATTTCATATTTACTGGGACTTTTAAACAACTTTGTATGGTTTTATATTATGGTGGAACAATTTTTTTGGTGACATCGCAAATAGATCATTTCAAGAAACTTTGCCGAAGAAACTATAATATCCCGGAAGTAATTTCGAGCCAGCGAAAATTTCAAAGATTTTTTTTCTCCATATACACTGCCAAGGATCTCATATTTACTGTGAATTTTTGACATGGTTTTATATTATGGTGGGCCAATTTTTTTTTGGCGACACCGCAAATAGATCGTTTCAAGAAACTTTGCCGAACAAACTATAGCCCGGAAATAAATTTCGAGTCAGCAAAAATTTCAAAAAAGCTCTTTTTCCAAATACACTTCCAAGGATCTCATGTTTATTGAGAATTTAAAAAAAATGTATGGTTAAATTTATTTATATTTATATTTGGAAAGATGCATGGTTCATAATGGTTACAATGATAAAATATGAGAATAATAATATCGAAAAAAAAATTAAGTCATTATAATAAAATAACAATACTAGTTCTTTATTGACATAGCCAAAAACGATAGTCAGAACAAACTCCCTTAAATATTATAAGTTAATGAAAAAGTTTTAAATAAAAAAATATATAGACTGGCAAAGAGATTTTTGGTCATACATTTTTTATAATTTATACTAAGGACTTCTACTGAATTTTATAAAACTAAATAAGATCTCTTGATCAGTTGCCATAGATAATCTCCCAAGTTGATAAAAATCTATCAAATTCTAAATATGTAAAATGCAAATCAATACATTTCTCCCATTCTAATTAATTCATCTGACTAATTTAATTTAGTGGCATCTTGCAAAATTAAAAAGAGACTAAAACAAGGTCAAGTTTATAAACAGAAATGTATATAATGTAAAATTCGACGTCCAGCATGCTCAGACTACTTTCTCCAAAACGATTAAAAAAAAGAATATGATAACGAACTAAAAATGACACAAATTTACGACAAAAAATAGAGAAAAATTAATTGCGGTCTCAAAATCCGAAAATTGTGAAATATTTTGGACAAAATTTAATAAAAAAAAAAAAAAATTACCTGCAATGTCTAAATTCAATTTTTAGAAAATTTGGGACAAAATATATATTATGCTTAATTTTATTTTTAATGTTATGTAAAATGTTTATATAACTTGATAATTTTATTAAACATACACTTACAAAAAAACGTAGCAAGTTTTTAATTGTTTACGTTTGTTGTATGAAATATATTTTTTGTGCTTAATGATTGTTTCAGAAATTATTTACATGTAGATTTATGTAGTATTTTTAGATGTTAAAAACAACAAACCTAAAAAAATTGGATATCTAACCAGAAAACCTAATAAATACTTTATAATCCAAAATGGTAGTATTTGTCAGTAAAACGATATACATTTATAGAATATGTAAATTGTATAAATTTATGTAATGAAAAATCTTTTTCCCATTGCCTAAAATAGGTAACATAATAACTGTTTTAATGATTAAAAACAAACTATGTACGTCCAAAAATTTGCTAATGTTCAGGATGAAATAAGTGCAACAAAATATATATTAAGATTTAAAAAAAAACTTGGATAATTCATTTGAGAAGACACACATTTTATCATCTCACCTATACTTTTATTTGAAAATATTAAAAAATTAAAGCACCAAGCTTTAAATTTTTTAATACATTGTTTAAGATTTTTATTGTTAGTAACTAAATATAGTAAATAAAGATAAATGTATTAAATAGCTGAAACAATCACTAATCACAGAAAATATATATTAAAAAAAATAAACACTAGGTTTATAGTTTTTCATCATATGTTCCGAATACAAAATTCTACCTAATACAATAGGGCCTAATATAAATTAATACATAATTCAAATGTCTCAGAATCTTTAAAAAATGCACAATTATTACTGATTTTTAAATTTTATTTTATGCAATATTAAAAAAATATATTTCATTCATTTAAGATCTATATGTTTAGATATTATAAAACTACAACTACCTACTTTTTATTTATTGACAATTTTCGATACTTTTGCCTGCAAGCAAGTAACGATCGCGAATCACAAATTTTTATTTTTAATAATATATTGAAGAAATCTGCAGGATCATTCTGTCATGTAATAGAACAAATAATAGAAAATAATTTTTGTATTTTGTGTTTTTAATAATTTCTTTAGAAGTGTCGGTGCGTGTCGTTAGTTTCATTTTATTCATTTGCCACGAAATAGCATCATAGAAAGCCAGGGCACTGTGACGAAATAAAATACTTACTAGTTCATTATTTATTTTACTTTTTATAAGGAACTAGTAGTGTATTAATAATGTTATTGTAATAAAACACAAAAATCATTGGCACCAAATTATGTCATTTGTATAATATAATATTCTGCCCCAAACACCGATTTTCCATTGCCATTCTACGCCGCAGTGCCTGAAAATGGGCCATTTTCAATTGAAAACATTGTTGATATATATTTTTAATAACTGATATCACTACTGCATGATATTTGGTGCGGAGATCGAACTCCTGACCCTGCTCACACAATGCAGTGCGCTTAATCACCAATAACACCTTTATATATATATATATATATATATATATATATATATATATATATGCTTATACAGATATTGTACGTGTTCTACTTTAAACATTGGATTAAGTCCACAGCTCGTTTATCTGATTAAGGACTCAAGAAAACTATTTCTTCAATCTTGTATGTTAGTCTAATCTAAATCATCTAAATATTATATTTATTTATTCATTAATTTAATAATTTATTTTATTTTATTTTATTTTTATATATAACAATGCATAAGTTGCTACTTCTAGCAAAATAGAAACCGATCCACGTGATTTTTTATTCGAAGTACCCAGTCAATTATAATTCAATGCATAAATTTATTAAAATTTGTTTGAAAATGAATATTATTTTTTTCATATGAATTAAATACAATAGAACAAGATCTAATTGAAATTCGTATTAATATTCATATTAGCACTGAGGTCAGATCTATGAAATTATATTTGCTATTTTTCTATAAGCTAATTTAAAATTCGTGGATTAAAAATTGTATTGAAAGAACCACGTGCACGATTTCTATTACAAGTTAATATTATAAACTGATTTTTTATCATTCTTTTAGACAAAGTTTAACTTCATTAGAATATTATTAATTCAATAATGAATAGATTAATTTCAATAATCATTTGAAGTGTTACAAAAATTTAGTAATACAAAAAATATTAACAATTTATTTTAACATTAAATGTGTCAATCTATGTCTCTATATTCTGCTATTTTTTCTTGAACAATTTTTGGGTTTATTAGTTAATTCATTAATTTGGTTTCATTAAAGTTCTCGAAAAAGGGGTTATAAGAGAATTTATTAATAAAACATAAAATAATTTTTTTAGAAAAAAGTAACTATTAATTGTTTTAATGTTGCTCTTAATGTTTCATAAAATCTATTCAACTAAATTAATAGTTCAGTAACATATTACAAATTCAGTAACAACTGAATTACAAGTTTGCTACAACCGCTATAAAACAGGTTTTTGTTTAGATCAAATGCAATAATAATTATTACCTAATAAACAGTAATAACATGACCGACTTGCAAACTTTCAATCATTTTCATTACCTACAAATTATTAATTAAAAATTAATTATTAAATAAAAATAGAATCGTTCTTGTAAATTACGAGTTCAAATCCCGCAATTCGGACAACTTGGTATGAAACAAAAATATAGATCAAAATACGTTTTCAAGTAAGTTAGCTTTAGAAGTTATAATATTTTGTCACAAGACTGGTTTACCTAAAAACATAATATATGTAATTTTAGATCGTCTTCTAAAAAAAATCAATATTGATCAATTCATCACAATAGCCAATTTCACAGTGAATTTGCAACACTTGTTAATTTATATATAGTTAAGAACAAATTCTTCCAAATCGGCCACAATCAAGACAGTGCTTAATGAAATAAGTATGAAATAAATTAATGCCAATTTTTTTTATAACAAGATGTCAATAATTCCATTCGCATATCATTAAAAATTCCATAACTGTTTTATAATATTAGTTTATATGCAACATGCTCAAAATTCCCCACAACAAACTAGTATTGTAGCGTGCATATTATTTAAATAATATTATATGATTTAGTTTAGTTTAGTTAAATGTATTGCAGCTATGCTGAGGCTTGCAGCGCTGAGTGT